TTTTTATTCTTCTGTTATAAAATGTTAAAGAGAAGTTGTAGAAGTCTCCAATGCCAGAATGTACAAATGAATTCCCTGTCCCTCAAATAAAATTAATGCAAGTACCAACTAGTTTCTCTCCAGATGTTGAGGTACAGCCAGTGAAGACAGTTCATACGCTGAATTAAACACGGAATTACAAGATGTTTCTGAAGTATCAGACCATATGAGATACTTCAGTAACATCTTGTAATTCAGTGTTTAATCAACTTCAGACAAGACAATGCACTGAGGTCATAGCCTTGCAAAAGGAAATTTAGCAGAATGTGCCTTTCCCTTTCCTGCTCTTCATGTTTATCTTCCTCTCCCTAAGACTGCATAACAAGCATCAAAAACTAAGGATGCCGATCCTGATTAAAGAATGCTCTTTAACTACTATGAATAATTAAACTTTCAAATATAATTAGATTAAAAATACATGTAATTCATGAATCATTTATTGATTAGAATTTTTTTGCATTAGTGAAACATAAAAGTAGCTTCACGCTTAGTGTGATATTTGGTAGGTGAAGTTCAGAATTTTGGAGGCAATCAAGCTTGGAAAAACAAACTGAGAAGGAACAGCATCCCATAATGAAAATGAAGCATATTTATAATAGTGCACAGCTAATAATTCATTTAAAAAAAATTTGTATCATAATTTTCAGTAAGCAAATATTTCTATTTGAGAATTTAAAGTTTAGTCAGAATTAAGAATTCCTCACCCCCATCCCATTCCCCACCCTGATTCAGAAGATAAAGGTTGATATTAAAAGCAATTTTACTGGTTGGATTAACTGTGTTTGGATTGTTCTTCTTATAGAAGTAAACACAATCCAGAAGGCTTTCAAGATAGCTACATTCTGGGCCTCACTGTTACTGTGCATCAAGGGAGCGATGCTATGGCACAGTTGCTAATAGCAACTCCTCCATGGGGAAACTAAGCATCGATCCATTTGCATGAGTCAGCCAAATTAAACTAATCTCCTGCCTCTTTGTCTCCATTTTCTTTCTTGCTAAGAATAATGAGTATAACAACTAACACTGAAACTTCAGCTACATTAACGGGACAGACATCCAGAGTCCTTGTAAGATTCTGTGATTAATAGAAGGCTTCCAAAAGTTTAATCTGTTCTCCCCAAAGTATTACAGAATTGCATTTCTTTTTCAAACTGAGCAAATTTCAAAGCTTACAAAACTGCTGTGCCATTGAGTATTGTGCTTTTCTATATTGAATAGATGTGAAACCTGTCACTTGATTTGAAAGTTCTACCTCTCTATCTGTATTTTTGTGTATTTACATACTTACACAATCTACACTGTAACATTAAAAATACTTTCACTTCAAAATATTGCTTTATGACATTTGTATACTTTTCTGTAATGAAATTCCTATAAAGACAGTAAGAAGTATTCATACTTAGAAGAAAGATGAATAATGTGTTAGTTTGAAGAGGTGCTGCCAGACTTCTGATTTGTGGCAGCCATAGACTTTACAGCACAACTCTCATACTATAAAGCTTATAAGTATTTAAAAACAAGATAAATGAAAATATGGTAAAGCTTTAAATAAGCACAATGATCTTCCAACTTCAAGTTGGACAGACTACTGACTACTAGAGTTGTCCAGAGTTGCAGTGCCCCCAAAAGCACCTTTACATCACACTGCTAGGTCAGGCTGGGGTTGGGCTTCACAGTACAACTGGCTCCGTGCTGCGCTGCATCTTACAAACTACTTGCAGTCCCAGAGCTGCAGTGCATCAAGAAAACTCTTTGCGCTGCACTATTGAGATGGGCTGGGGCTGGGTTTCATGCTGCAATGCAGCTCAGGGGCTTCTTGCATCCTGAGCTGTAGAGTGCCGAGAAGCTCCCTTCCCCACAGTGCTGAAATGGCTAGGCTGGGCTTTGCACTGTGGCCCAGGGATTTCTTGCAACCCGCAAACCCCACAGCTCCAAGAAGCCTCTTTGTGCTGGGCTGCTGGGCCGGGCTGGCCTGGCCTGGGTTAGCTGTGGCTTTGCGCTGTGCTGCATCTCATGTCTTCTTACAGCCTCAGTGCCTGAGGCTTGCCCGAGCTGCAGCATGGTAAACAGCCCAAGACCCAGGCAGTTTTAATGCTACTTGATGGCCCCACAAGACAGGATATAGGATGGCCAAAAAGGGCAGAGATAGGCAGGGAGGACCTGGAGGCAGTATCTCACTTTACCGAGGCTTGGGGCTGGGAGGAACCAAGTTGGGAATGGTTTGGATTGGGATGGTCCTCGCCAAACCACTGGGTGGACTTTGGTTAATGACAGCAAGGGGAAGCCTTGTGTTTAAAGTACTGCTTCCTATAACTTTTTGTTTAACTAGCACAGGATTAAATAGCTTTAATGTCTAATCTTGGAATAATCTAGACTAACTTCAGATCATCCAGGTAGTGTCTAAATACCCCACTATATTTCTTATTATCGTGCACTTAATTGTAGAAGTAGAGACTTGCATAAGTTTACCTTTATACAATGACTTGAAGAGTAGATTTTAAGATTTTAATTAAACTGAGAATGTTAGTTAATAAAGAATTATTTAATATAATTCTTTAGTAAAGAATTATTTATTGTAATTATTTAAGAATTATTTAATATATGAAAACCTATATCTTGTGCAAAGATTTGAAATCTTAGATATATTTCAAGAAAGCTGTATCTCAGGAAGTTCCTGTGATTTCTTTTGCATCAGGAAAAGTTTAATATAACCAATGTGGGATCTAGAACAGGTGTATCCTATTTACATCTGTTTAACACAAATCCCATTAAGCAGAGGCCAAATATTTTGGATCAAAACTATATTCCTAATGATCTTACCCTAAAAGTAACTGTAGCACTGCATGTATTCTTTCTTGAGAGGCAAAGAACTATGCAAGCTTTCCCTAATCTAATCCTCTAGAGATGTTGCACTATAAGAGCCGGCATCACCAGCCAACAGCCAACAGAGAAGAAACTAATGGCCTACGGAGCTGCTCTGGAAAAGTGAAGGACCCGCCCGCGATGTCTCTGCCAGCAAAAATGGATCACAAGAGGGCAGCACAAGGCCCTCCCAGGTTCTGTTTTTGACTGGGATGGCTTCCTGTAGCCCTCTGACAGTGAAAATGGAGCCTTATTTTCTGCACCATGGAAATTATAGTGTAAGCCCATAAATTCCCATTAATTAGCAAAGTCTTTCCTTAAATTTGTGAAAAAGAGATAATCCTAATTTCACTCATTTTATATAACCTCCCCTTCACTGCTGTCTTCACCAATCTCAATTTTAAGTGAGACTTCCAATAACTTAAAGTTTGCCCACTCAGTTCTAAAACAGGAAGACCCATTACTCATTCTGCTATGATTAAGCTAAGGAAACTTTGAGTAAAATCCTATCTTAATCCTTCCTAAAAGAAAGTGTGATTCCTATATGTTTTGATAGGATTTTATAATAAATACCAGTAAACTGCACATTAAATTTTGAACATGTTGGATATGTGCAAGGAGTTAGAAGCATTTTATAGAACTTGAGCAAACTAATCTGGGTAAATAAGTAACCCTCTGTATAGCAGACATACAAACTTTGTGTTGTGGTTCGCCGGCAGTGGAATCAGACAGTGAGGAAGAAAGGAAAACAGTCAGGGAGTCTGGAAAGGACTTGGTCGAGGATCCTGCATCCTATGCAGGGATGGGGCCAGGACCAGGACCATTTGGGAGTGGGGTGCTGCCTTCGGAGCCTTTGGTGTCTGGCAACAGCAAAGCAGAGGACCTAGGGGAGCCTGTTCCGTGTGTGTGTGTGTGTGTGTGTGTGTGTGTGTGTGTGTGTGTGTGTGTGCAGAGCTGCTAGAAGGCGAAAGCAGCTGAAACAGAAGGGGTGACTCAGGAGTAAGGCTGGGAGGAGATTGCCCCTCCCATAAGAGATAAAAGTCAGACCTCAATGAAGACATCTTTGCAGGAAGCAAAGTAGTTTGATAGATTCCAAGTCCTCCTTGAAAATCTGTGTACTCTGCTTAGTTTTTTCTGGTACTTTGGTGGGTTTCTTATTATTTGGATACTTCTATTTTTGGCAACATTCCACAGCACTGAAAGGCTCTGCTTATCTTGGGGAACTATTTATAATTAGTTCTGGCTGGGAATGAAAGTAATTCCCAGCGTTGCAATGAAATAGGTTTTGCTTTTAAAACAAGTTTGTGTTTAATTCCATTTGGGTCAGAACACTTTGCTTGAAATAAAGCCTGGGGATAGGGAAGTAATCATCTTCATTCCCACAATACCTACCATTTTTTAAAGCCAAGATTCAACAGTTTTTATAATTTAAAAGGAATTACAACTTATTCTGATTCCGTAGAAATATTTATTTGTAGTAATACTAAGAAAACATTAATCTACAATGAAATTGTGCCCTATTGCTTCAGCTTTTATTAATGCAGAGAACTACATTGTCAAAATATTTATGGAGATTCTCAGTCCTCCAGGTTTGAGTCATAGTTTGAAAAAAGTACCTTTGGGAGTGCATTGCCAAAAGGCAGCAACTCACATCCGATTATTCTTTTATTGGAAAACAGTAATGTATAATTAAGTTATCCTACGAACAGAATCTTTTTTGCTCAGAACAATGCACCACATCATTAGTTATATGCTTATAACCCAACCTAGTAAATTCCCTGTGAATTGATTTTCACTGATCTCATCAACATTTACTTTCCAGTAAGTCTGGAATTATAGCCACTGGCTGTGACATCAAGCTTACATATTGGCTTTGTCTGTTGTCCTCTATAAAGCTTTCTTTAAAAGAGAGGCAACCAATATTACACTGTGACCTTAGATATATTAATCCAAAAGAAAACCTCAGTTGACTTGGTCTCTGGAATGTGAATATAGGATTACAACTGTATTGTCTTAATGGAGACCAAGAACTATTGTGCAACAGGTGTTTTAAATTAATCTCCACCAAATACAGGCAATAACAGAAAAATAAACCTCACCTCTCACATCAGGAGAGAATCGAGCTGAATGGCGAGATACAAAAAGTTTAAGTTCTTGATCCAAGTTGCATTCAATGAGGTTTGTGTCCCATGATCGGATACCTAGATGTTAAAACAAAATAAACATGTAGTCAGGGATAAGTACAGAAATATTAATTACTATTGTTAGCTTTTTTTTCTGTTTACCTCCAGGAGCTCAAGGTAGAAATCTTAGCATTCCTTCTTCCAATTTCCTCTCAAGGTAGGTTAGGCTGATAGAATGACCCAAAGTTAATTGGCTTGGAGTGGAGCTAGAGTCCTCTCTTTCCCTCCCTCCCTCCCTCTCTCCTCTCTCTCAGAATGGGATAACTTGCCACAGTCAACTCACTGTGGCCAACTTGCCATGGCCCACTCGCTACAACCATGGCTCACTGCAGAACAACTCACCATAGCCAACTCATCATGGGATAACTTGCTGCAGGACAATTTAACAATTCTATTTAATTATTCAAAATAAATAAAAAAAATATTTTCATTTTTTGCCATTCACATTTCATCCTGTCGCTCCATTTTCATCCTTTCTTCAATGACTGTATTCTACTATTTCTTTCATATTAGTGTAACTCTTTCCTGCAGCGAGTTGTCCTGTGGTGAGTTGACTGCAGCAAGTTGGCCATGGCAAGTTGGGCTCAGCGAGTTGGCCATGGTGAATTGTCATAACGCTCTCTCTCGCTCTCTCCCTCCCTCCTCTGTCTCTGCACTTTGCTGGAGGCACCTAGAGTTTCTATGATGTTTTTTATGCTTTGTACTGTTTTGGTTCTGGTTTGTAAGCAACCTAGCATTATGGTGCATAAGATGGACAACTATAAGAGTCTTTTTAATAATTCAATTCAATGGCTTAAATATGGGGTTTTAATGCGAATCCTACAATCTAGTGCAACATTTTACTTACTCTCAGATTATCTTTACATATGGATAATTTAGATTTTACTTTTTAAAATAAACCTGTCAATTCTCTACTCCAAAAACGTCATGTTTTTAAAATCAGTTTTCTTCCTCCCCTTACCAGGCTCAGTCCTTTATCTCACAGACCCTCTAAAATATCTTTAGTTCTTTAGTTACTGACTTTATTTAGCACTCTATTCCCAGTAAGGCTAGACGGTTTTACTTGTTTTATTAGGGAGCAAGTTTATAGGATGGTAATGTGCCATTTACAAAAGGATGATGCAGCTAACCAATTTGCAACATTCTATAAAAACATTGGACTAATTGTTTTATGCTACTTGTAAAAACACTTTATCTAAATCATTATGCTATAAATATTTATGAATTCATGCATGTATTTGTAAACTAGGATTCCTTCTCCCTACAGAAGCACTCAACCGCGTTACAAAAGGTAACAAAATTAAAATAATCTGTCATTACAACCACAGAAAATCCATCACTATAACAATTATGAGCAGACAAAGAAAAATGAAACAAATCTCTCCAGAAATAAAAATGAGTGAAAGAACAACTAAGTGAAGAAAGACTTTGCTGACATAAATATTGGAGGGCTGGTGGCAAGATAAATATGGGAATCTCTTTGAGGTTATGACAAGCACTTTGCCAACAGTGATCAGGACTGTATCCCAGAAAAGGCCTTCATTAGTGTGCTGCTCAGATTTATGTACCCAGCTTATACATTCAGTGTACGCCAACACTTTTTGTGCAGATGTGTTTACTTGGAATTTTAAAAACATGTTGTGATCCTGCCCAATTATCAAACAGTTACCCCGGGAGACATAGCCTGTTACAACGCACCACTGATCGGAATGCTACCTGGCACCTTCTCCATAAAATGCTCCTACCTGGTTAATTTTGCCCTTTTTGTGCTAAGTAGGCACAGTTCCAAATGAAATTCCAAATGAACTATAACACATAAAGACAAGAAACATATAGGGTTCTGGCAGCTAGCCTTCCATACATCACTACTGTTACCTCTTACGGCCTTCCACCATAACTGTATTCTGTTTGAAGGAGGTAGGCAATGTAATATTTCCTAAGCATAGTGCCTGACACTAATCCTTTTCATCTCTCACCATTGTCTCAAACCAGGGATACCCAAACCAACTGGGCCGTGCAAACAGTGGGCATGTGGGCAGAGTTCCACTTGTACATGGGCAAGATAAGGTTGTGTGTACAAAACATATTTGCCCCACACCACCTGCCACTGCTGGTCTGCAGAGCAAGGAAGGTTGAGGACCACTTTCTTAAAGGATTCCATCTACTTTCACCCATAGAAAAATCCAGCTCTATGAAACGCTTTTGTCTGGTCTGAACAAACTGTCCCATCAGGGAATACTGCTTTCTTCTCATTTAACCTCACATTTGTCTTGAATCACCTCATTAAATCTCTATCACATCTGTACAATGAGTGTTAACTTTATGGCAGCCTTTCACAAACCATCAACTTTTGATTTATCTAACCATAAGTTTGGGAATGTATTCGTTCTTGGATTCTACCAACCTGCTTTCTTTGCCCAGCAGCTCAGACAATATACATAGATTTTTGTCCTCCATTTCCCCCCCAGAACTACCTTTTCAATTAGGCTGAATTAACAGAGTTATAAGATATAGATGTTATTTTGCTTTCTAGCATATGGTTAAAATGCATAATACCCAAGGCCAGCTATGTCATTTAAGTACATAAGGTAGAAAAGGCCACAGGTTCTTTCCCCATATCTACAGTAACCATAATATAATCAATTAAATAGACATTTACATGACCGACATAAACTTTGTTGCCTGTTTTATTCTGCCCAAAGGTACAATTATTTTGCTCACACCCTTTAGCCCAGGCATGTGAAACTGAGTGCTTAGATCTGGTCCCAGGGCTGCTCTGGAAACAGTGAAGGACAAGCCCATGGTACCTCTGCCAGCAAAAACAGAGCTTGAGGGGCCCACCCGCGGCCCACCCAAGCCCCGTTTTTGCTGGCAGAGGGTTGCAGGAGGCTGTCGCAGCTGAAAAAGAGCTCAGGAGACCGTTTTTGCTGGCAGAGTACTCAGGCCACTATAGGTGCCCCAACACAAGTGATATTGAGCTGGCTATGCCACGCCCCCCCCGCCAAGATCAAACACAACCATGTTGCAGCCTTCAATGAAATTGAATTTGATACCCCTGCTTTAGTTTGTATCAACTGCAGCTGTATCCAGCACACGTTACTGAGCAGATATGCTGTATACTAATAAATCTAGCAATACTATGAGTTCCTAGCTTACTATCAGCAAGGCCTGGCATAAGGGAAATTAAATATGGGAGGCCAGCCAAGATGATACATCGATGCTTCCTTGTAAAGTCTTGAAAAATTTGAGTTTACATTTTTATATAAGTAGCAGTAAACTTAATTCAATGTGTTACACTGAAACGTTTTCCAGCAAGGTATTATAAATTTAAAAGCTATCATTTATTTATATGACACACAGGTTCCAAGTATTAAATGCATGCAATCATCTTAGATAATTTTTAAAATAATAAATGCAAATAGCAATAGCACTTAGACTTATATACCGCTTTACAGTGCATTACAGGCCTCTCTAAGTGGTTTACAGAGTCAGCATATTGCCCCCAACAATCTGGGTCCTCATTTTACCCAACTCCGAAGGATGGAAGGCTGAGTCAATCTTGAGCCTGCTGGGATATGAACAGCCGATAGTCAGCACAAGCGGCCTGCAGTATAGCACTCTAACCATTGCGCCTGGAAGCAAGTCCTAATTATTGCATTAATTTTTTAAAAGGTCACCTTCTTCCTCCCTCCCCATCTGTTCTATTGGCTCGGTCAATAAGACAATATGAATTCTTCTACAAACCTGTATGCACGTAACATTTTATAGCTTTGTACACTGTACCTGAACAGCAGGTGTCAGCTAATTAAAGGAAGCAGCAACCAGAACAGTGCAGTAATATCAGAAGGATGGGGCTGTTCAATATTTCTCTGGTGGGATTATATTTGGCCTTTGGGTGGACTGGGGTGGGAGATGGGGACGAACCTCCCAATGTGGTTAAGATAGGACAAAAATTGAGTTTTACCTCACTGGATTGAAATTGACTAAATAACTTAAATTACAAAGTATAAGACTGCTCTCCAATTTTTTCCCTTATGTTACATTTAAAATCAATTTTGATGTTAACTTTGGAAAGGCTTTGAGGACCAATTGCAAGGATTTGGGAGTCCCAGGAGAGCCCTGCAAGAGGAGTTTCAATGAGATCAGAAAATAACCACTACTTTTCAGGATCTGTAATGGCAAAAAAAAAAACCCTTGAAGTACAGGTAGAAGACCTATAACCAAGACAATAGTTAGATAAAATAAATTTGAGTCCAACCCAATCTGTAATCCAAGTAAATGTCTGGGACAAAACCCTCCCTAGTTTTCCTGAAAATAAAGGGAGGGAGGAAAAAGGAAATGCATTCAGACTTGTAAGATTCTGTTACTATAACCTTACAATAAAAGTAGTACTAATTGATGTGATTTTAGTTCCTAGTCTGGTCTACCTTGGAGGGCTGACAGCATTCTCCATATTTTGGGATTGAGATAGATGTAAACAGATTAATCTGTTATTAGAATTGGTTGTACAAATGGGCCTAGAAAATTAGGCAAACCTGTTAGAAATTCTGGGTAAAGAGAATTTTAAATTCAAAAGTTTAATTTCATCTCAATAATTTAATGTTTGAAATAATAATTATTTTAAGCTGTAGTGGAATACAACAGCTCCAAAAGTGTTTTGGTATTGGTAATAGTAACTTTCATACAGCATGTTCTCTCTGCCTTTTAGACAGTTTTTTTAATAATATGATTTCTTATTACAATGGAATGTATTAACAGAATAAAAGAGTTGGAAGAGATCTTGGAAGTCTTCTAGTCTAACCCCCTGCTTAAGCTAGAAACCCTATACCATTTAGACAAATGGTTGTCCAGTCTCTTCTTAAAAGCCTCCAGTTTCTTTGGGTATTTTCCCATGTCTTTATAGTTGTGCTTTTAAAGTTATAGAGGCAGAATCTCATCTGCCATCATCAGGCTTGTGTATTGAGTTCAGGGGATAATTGCACATACACACAGAGACACATCTCTCTCTCTCTCTCTCTCTCTGTGTGTGTGTGTGTGTGTCTGTGTGTGTGTCTGTGTGTGTAATTCTTTAACTGGGTTGTAGATTTCATCATCTGATCTAAATGTAATGGTTAAGTGAAGTTTGGAAAAACTGTGACAAACAGATTTATTGACAGATTTATTGTCAGACTCTATTTCAACAATGATCCTGTAAGACCATTTCCAAATAAATTGGGCAATGTAATGAATGGATATAAATAAATCCAATTATTGTCTACTGGTAGAACAATGTTTAGAACAATGCCCTATTATATCTGCTCCAATCACTAGGCATCATCTCTCTGAAGAAGCAATTTGGAGGCTGGAAGAGTTCAGAGGTGAGAAGACAAAATCCTGTCATACGAGTAAAAGACCAGTTCCATGACACCAGATGGAGATAACACCTATTGAGCTAGAACTGTTTAAGGTGAGAGATTACTGTATGAATTACAGAGCATTCGAATTCCCAACACAGCAAAAACATAAGAGTGTGCTAAATTAAAACATCAACAGTTTTCAGTGCTTCAGTAGCATATCTGCTGAGTTGCTAATCTCGTTTTTGTTTTATTTCAACAGAAATGAAAATATTTTATAAATAAATGTTCAATAAAATAATTAAACCATGTTCATGCTTTCTAGAAATTATTTCATTCTAATTGCTTCTAGAATACATCAGGTTGGCTTACTTTTTAAAAAATTTAAGCCAGTGAAATTAAATAATATTTTAATCTGCTGAGTGCACTGAGTACACAATTTTGGAAGTGTGCCTTTTTGAAAATTTCCAAAGGGTAATCCATATTATTGTGTTAAATCAATCAGTTTGCTTTTATCCTGCTTTTAATGGAACTCTTTGAAATTCAATAATGTCAAAAAAAGTCCAAAGAGTGATTTCTTCTTCGGTTTTCTCCACTTCAACTGTGACATCATTAGTAAACCTCTGCCAAATTTCCACAAAAGGTTTGACTTGACAGAAAGCAATTTCTGCCTTGATTAGGAGTGTAGGACATCACCCTACATAATGTCAGCATTTATTATCTACTGTGACATGCAATACTTTCTGTTGGAAGATCTTCCCATTGATCCAGAATTTCTTACATCCAATAGTGCATGTATCATATTTTTAAAACTTTTTTTCCTGTTTGACTACAAATCTTTGACTAGTATAAAATCAGGCTGATCTAAATTGTACAGAGTATTTAAAAACTATTTGGACTATTTGGAGGACATCTGATTAATAGTTTTTCTATAAGATATACAGAAAATTCTTCTGACCTACCATGTTTCTCATATAATAAGGCCGGGTCTTATTTTTTTTTGAGCCCCGAAAAAATGGCTAGGCTGTCTTTTCGGGGGTGACTTATTTCCCCACCCCTTACATCTTTGGGCCGGCGGGCAGCAACGGCTTGGATGTTGACCTCGGCATTGGTGGGGCACTTCGTATCGGGGTCAACGCAGGCAGCACCATATCTGGGTGTGCAACAAAAGTACTTCCTAATGGCAAGCCCCCCCTGCCATTCCCCTCCCATTTCGCATGTTTTAATATAGGCCTTGATTTGGGGGGAGGGGCTTAATTTCATTTCATGCCTATAAAACATGCTGGGACTTCCTATTGGGGGAGGCCGTATTGTTGGAGAAACAGGGTACTACAGTTATTATATTAGGATATACAGGTTTGCTATGTTTTGAATCTTATTTTTCTTAATCTTAATACACTTCACATCATTTCCAGGTATACAAAGAATATGTAAGTGTTCATATTTTATGGGATCTAGTTAACAAAAATTGTTTCAGAATGGGAAACATATGGATAATATATTCGGGATCATTCACACAAATATGACAGAACTGAAATATTTTCAATTTTTATGTTATATGAACATTCATTTTGGTAAATGAAAGATTTAGCTGGACGTTTCTGAAAGATTGCTTTGTACCAAATCTTATAATCCTTAGCTATCACGTTTGAGAACACTAAGTTAGGAAGATGTTATTGAGCATTTGGTAATCAAATTCAGTTATTTTTAGAATACTGGCTTTTGCAAGAATTATTTTTAAAAACAATAGATATACATCATAAGTTCTCAAAAAGCAAGCCTTGTTTGAAATTAAATATGGAAGCCTATTAAACATCCACTGTTAAATCAGTCTGCACAATAGAGCTCTGTGAGTCAGCATTTCTCACACAATTATCACACAGAATTCTACACTAAAAAGTAGAAAAGTTGATCTTATATATTAACATGAGTGATTACTAAAATGAAAGGAATTTTTCATTTTACTGAAAGGAATTTTTATTTCCCTTCTAAAAAATAAAAATAGGTCTGTCAATCATTTCTGTCAGTTCAGGTCTTATCAGCAATCTGGGCAGACTTACAATTGTTAGATTTTCCATAGGTTTTAAAGTATTTGGAAGGTGGGTTAGGAATGGATGTATGGAAATAAATATTGTAGTTGATTTTCTATAATTATTAAATAGCTATCATCTCTAAATCTCCTTCGGTAATATTAAAAAAAAACATTTTTCAATTCATTCAAGACAATCCTTTACTACGTCATCCATAGATGATGGGCTCTCAGATTTCTCTGCAGTGATTCATATTAATTGAGCACTTTCCAGGGTGGTGTCCAAGGGCCAAAACTAAGATTGCAGATTCATGAAACCAGGAAGGCCCTGCTGCAAAAGCCTTGTTCAACTAGACATTTAATCAAGCTGCTGTTTATTTTAACAAAGAAATCTCTAGACTTTTCTAATCAAGGTTTAAACGACCGACATGGGCAAATCCCCCAAATGTTTATAAGTGTCATCATTTTGTATTCAGAATCCAGTATCAAGAATGCTACAATTGAACTATGCAATAAAAAACAAAAAAAACAAAAAAAAATCAATATAGGAATTTTGTTTCTTTTTCTTGAAGCAAAAACTGACATCAAATGCCTTAATCTTATTAAATTATTAATCAAAATGCAACAAATTCAGACTAAAACTTTTAGGTGTAGTTGAAAGAAAATGATCAAAGATCATTTCCAGCAACTTTTGGTATGATTACAGAAAGAGTTATCAATGCAAATTTACTAGAATACAAAATCAAGAACAAATCCCAAAGTAATTATGAACCACACCTAAATGTAGCCAAGGGTTCCTGACAATGGCTGAAATCCTTTGCTTTCCTTTTCTAAGGAAAGAATAATCAAAGGGAAATTTGCCTCGGTTATGAATATAACCAGCTTTGATATTCAAAAATACGTATCATTTTGCTTTTCTTAAATTTACAGTACTGCGACTTTTGAAAGAAACTGTAATAATCTGTATCCAAGCAACAGTAAGATAGAACAAATAAAGTGTTCCTTACTCTACAGTTATAATTTCTGCATGTTATTTGTCTTGAAAAAAATAGATTTCTACTGTGCTCAGAAAGCATGAGGGGGGGAAAAATTCCACATCACTTATGGCCGAAAGTTAGAAACAAAAGAAGCTGCTGTATTTCTGTTCAGAAGTGGCATATTTTGCAGCCCCAGAGCTTTCTAAAGCCCCTTCTCCTCAATTTTCAGGGAGCAAAGGCAGACAGTATGCAACTGGATCCTAAATCTAATTCTCTTTTTCTCCTTGACTGTATAAACGCCCTTTGTCAGCTATGGGCTGCCATAGGGACCGCACTGCGGACTGCACCACGCCCACCACACCGCCTGGTATCTCTGGGCAGACTCTCTAGCAGCAGCATAGAGAGGTGGGAGGAAAAAGAAAAAAAGAAAAAGAAAAAGGAGACACTGTTGCTGGCAAGCAAAGGCTGGAACAACCTCTGCTCTGAGCTAGAATGGGGGGGGGGATGTGTGTGAATGATGACAATAGGGAGGGGAGGAATGACTCGCAGAAGGAAAAAGTAAAACTCAAGATCAACTGCACCCTCCTTCCTCGTGCCCCTTGGTGCAGCAAAAATGCCAAAGTCAACTGCAGATCTTTCTGTGGAAAGGCAAAATACTCCCAATACCCCACATATTTGCCCGTTTCAGAAGCGGAGGCATCCTTATATATCTCCAGGAAATGTATTTCATGTGGTAAAAAAACCTTACAGTATTTCCCTGGACATATTATCCCTCCCAAGATCTCATTTCCTTCTGCTTCCTGTCCTACATCTCTGGAAATATGGATGAATTGCCCTATCCCCAGAGAACAAGGTTTTTCCTAAGAATGAGGAGGGGATCAACTCTTAACCTCCTTGTTGTTCGAAGTCAGCTATGGTTAAAAGAAAAACAACAACAACAAAGCCATCAATTACAAGGGTGCCATGTCTTCCTCTCTCATCAGGCAAGAACTGCTGCCTCCACACCCTTCAGTGCCTCCCTGCAGCTTTTCTTTCTTTCTTCTCTGCACAGGGCACGCCTAGAAGTGTGAATCTCTCTGGAAAATGGGACCGAGATGGGTGGGGGGGGGTAGTTTTAAATATTGACACGGCTGGCTACAGTAGCACTGCACTTCTAGAGAGAGAATCCTCACCCCTCCTAGCACAAGCATCCACACAGAGAAAAGAGGGGAAGGGGCGGGGGAGAGAGAGAGAGAGAAGGGAGTGGTTGCATCAGATTTTCCTTTTTGGGATCTCCACTGGGCTGGAACCAGGAGATCAGCCCAAGTAGTCCCCGAGAATTGCACCATAAACAGACAAGGAACAGAAGTTCCGATGGGAACGGAGGGGGCGGCGGGTACCAAGGTCGTAGGCAGAATCCCAGCTCGGGTAACTGCAGCGAATCTCTCTCTCTTTCCACCACAGAAGACGGTGGCAACAAGGACTTTTGTGCAACCTGTAGGGCGCCTCTGATCTCTTCCCCTTTCCCCTCGGCCAAGCCAGAGCTCCTGGAGGGGGTGTGGGGACAGGGAAGGGAAGGGAAGGGAAGGGGGGAAAAACGAAGTCCCCCTTCCCGAAAATCCTGCAGGAGAGAAGGAAGAGAGGAGAAACTGGGAGGGAGGAACTACTAGGGCAACGCCGCCGCCTTACCTCGCTCTATATTGCTTATGGCTCTTCTCAGATGCTCCTCGGTGACCAGCTCGCCCACTACGACCAGCAGATAAAATTTGCTGTCGAGAAAACGGTGCGACAGGCTCGGCGAAGGGGGCACCGCGCTGGGAAGGCTACAAGACGGCTCCGACTCGGGTTCCAGCACCACCGTCGCCATCCTGGCAAGCCCGTCGTGGTCGCCGCCGCCTCCTCCCTCCTGGTCCTCCTCCTCCTCCCTCCTTCGCAGCGCCTTCCCTCGCCGCTTCTCTCGAGGCGACGGCGGAGGAAAGAGGGGAGGCGACGAAAGGGTTTAATTCCAAAGGCGCCTCCCTCTGCGGGGGGGTGGGGGGGAGAGAAGAAGAAGAAGCGCGCCGAGAGGCACCGCCGCGCTCCAGGCAGCTGGGAGAGTGAGGGAGGGCGGGGAGGCGGCGGGTTTTTATACCGAGACAGTGCGGGGCTGGGACCTGGCCAGAAGGCGGAGGGAGGCGGCGGCGGCGGCTGAGGACGAACAGGCGGGGTGGGGGAGACCCGGCACAGCCACGCGCTGCTGCTGCCGCTGCCGCCGCCGCTTTGCCAACAGGCAGCTGATGTCATTTGCAGCAAATCATTCCCATCGCTGCCTCCGGAAGGAGGAAGGATGAGGTGAACCAGCCATGCTCAGAAAAAAACATTTCGCCCGGAATGAGGATGGGGCCTGTTGGGACTGCCCGGGCCCCATCCGAACTTCCCCTGACCTCCCGGATGATTCTTTCGGGTCATCTTCAACATCTTAATCCAGAAAATAAGGATTAAGAGTGTCCCGCGGAGGAGGCACAGCCACACGGAGAACACACAGGACGCAGGCGGCCAAGAAAAGTCCAAGCAAAGACTAATATTTGCCCGTGGCGATTGCCAAAGACAAGGCAAAAGCCTCACTTTCACATTTACAACCCATAGAAGATCAGCCAATGGGTTGGCCATTGGTTTTCAAATGATTATATAGGAGATGTATTATTTTTTAATTATTATTATTTATTTAAGCACATTTGTATAAGCTGCCTATCCTGCTTTAGTGACTTTGGGCAGTGTACATAATAATCAAGAATGTGCAGAACCATTAAAATAATAACAAAAAAGCAAAGTGATAGAAAAACAGAACGGTATTAACAGAACTGTATTAACTTTCACACATAATCCATTCCAGCACAGTGCCCTCAAACTAGTTGACAGAAAACAAATAATAAAACAACTTTTTGGGGATAGTTGTAGGCTGTAGGATGGAAATAAGATGGATAGAAAAATTTCCACAGCAGACAACAAAAGCAGCAAACAGATAGTCTGTTCCTGCCCAGTCAGTCATTAAGCTGAGCCGAGCAAAGAAGAAACAGTGAAGCCACTAAATCAAATAGCTTATGAATAACACTAGTGCAAAACATCCCTCTCTGATATTGGATTCATGCAACTTTTTGCCAGTGAATACTTTTTGCAATCTGGTTGCAAAGTTCAATAAGCAAGCACAGCAACATGGTTTTTGCATTTTAGTAATCTGAAAGTTCAATAGCATACCAAACAAAAATGTCACATATACACAACTGACAGAACAACAATATTACATTACATCCACGAACTCTTAAGAATACATGAATGATAATAAGAGCACATGGCAGGAGTTTATAATATTGTTTAGATAAGAGCCTTTTAACATATTACATATTTATAACTAAAAGATCTTCTTTATGGTACATTCCCAAGCATGAGAAGATTGTCCCCAACTTTACTTTCAGTATCAAATCAAATACTCCATCCCAAACATTTTAAAATACTAACTTTGAAAAGTCATTGTTCATAGATTGCTTATTGCTTTTCTATGCCTCTTTTTGTTATTGCAGGAAATTTATTTTAGAGTCTTGCATATCTTACTCTGGCATAAAACATGTCTCATGGATGAACAACATAGATTACTATATGCTTTTTTTTCTCTCAGGACAAATTTTCAATTTTAAAAATTGTGGAGAAGCCCCAAGAGCTTTTGTTTGTATGGGTTATATTTATCAATATTTGAAATTGATGCATTTGTTGCAACTACCCCTTCTTACAATTGTTTGGTGGGATTTTATTATTGTATTATTTTTCAACATAGGCTGTTAATGATTTTGAGGATCCTTGAAAGGATTCTAGGACTATATTATAAGAAACACTGCTTTGTGATAAGTGCTGTGTTATTCTCCAGATAGTACCAGATGCCTCTGAATAACATTTCTTTAGAAATGACAGTTAGAGAGCCGAACCTTCCTCAGGACTGAAGCAGTGCAGACTCAGCTAGCCAATGGCAGAAACACAGATCTCTAAGTGAATCTGTGATTCTGTGAGCAACTCAATCTCCCTGCCTGCTTTGCCTGATTTTGGGTAAAAGTTGCTCTTTTTGTTATAAAAAATTCAACATGTATATAAATATTTATAATATTTACATACAAGCCATGCCCAGCCAGTCACATGACCACCAAACCACACCCACAAATTAGGCAATGCCCACAGAAGCGGTTGTTAAGAAATTTGAATCCCACCCCTACGTGTGTGTGTGAGAGAGAGAGAGGTGGGGGGAAGGGAGGGAGGGGGAGAGAGAGAGAGGTTAGATCAGATCTCTCTCTCTCTCTCTCCCACCAACATCAGCAAGCCACTGCCAGTCAAAATTCATATTAGTGGTCCCCGGGATTTAAAATTATGAGTTTGGTGGTTTCTGAGGTCCAAAAGGTTGGCGACCCCTGGCTTATACAATGGAAAGGCAGTTATAAATACTGTTGTAAAGTAAATTGCCAAATTCATATTGTTTTCTCCAAAATAACAAGAGCCATGTCATTTCCGTTTCTATCACTCTGACAACTGCTTAAGATAGGAAGAAAAATATGACCAAGATAATTTGCTTCTTAGGTAGTTATGCCAAACATTTTCTAACAGTTCATTTAACTTGAATTATTATTAGGAAGTAATAGCAAATACTAAAGTTCAGGTAATAGATTTTGTGTTATGAAGTAAACTGAATAAAAATGCTATGTCTGCAAGCAAACAACCAAAGCTCAGGGAAGTATCTTTCACATCTAGCTCAATTGATTACTTTTAGGAACAAATCTATTAGGTTTTCCTGATTATACACCATACTTCTTGATCCCATATATAAAACTGATCCTTAAAGGTGCACTTCCATCCATATTAATAACCAGGCCTGCCTGCTACTCAGCCATCAAGATACGTTTATTTTAAAAATCCCAATCCATTATTTTCTTTCTTTTTTTTTGACAAGCACTTTTCCTGATGCATATTTTAAGGGAAAGTTTTCCAAGTAAACTCTTTGAAAACACATAATTACTGCTATGGGCATGTGAATTTCAGTAGCATATTCTCTTTCATTTTCTGTAGGATAGATGGTTTTGTTTTGTAGATTTTGGATCAGGTAAGACATTTTTTATCTATCATCTATGCCATTGTGAAGTCAAGTGAAAATGTGATGTTTCAAATAATTTGTGGTTATTTTTTATAATATACATCTGTGCATGGCCTAAGAATAGTTCCTAGCATTTTCTGAGATATTCTATAATATATATATTTATTTAGTGAGCTATTGTAATGAATGCAACATGGTCTAGTAAACTCAACCTTCTAGAAAACAAATAGCACATAACAATACTAAGAAAATGCAAGTGATGGGCATTTTATTGCATTATAAGATGAATAGGGAAGATATTTTTATTCTACCAGGAATATTTTTGTTAAGTTGTGTGTTTCAAAATGCATGTCTTCTACCAGAGGTTTCTAGTTTCAGTACTTGACATATTGTTTCTTTATGTGTTGTTCACTTGATACATGCACTGTTTTACTAATGAGCATTTCCTTAGTACCCAGTAATAACAAAGGCAATGAAATGATTATGATTATTTGGTAAGAATACCGACAGTATGCTTTCAAAATTCCAAATGTCCTCATTGGTCAAACATTCCAAATCTGCACATCAAACTATGGAGCAAGCATTATTTTAATACAGGAAGTTGATATGCTTTCAAAGAAAAATGTAAATTGAGCATCTATAATCATATATATGCCGAGTTAGCCAGTTCCTGGCTATACAATATTTTGAGAAAAGATAGGCTGCTGTTTCATTCATGCTGTTTTTCTCTGATCATTTCTCTGATCATTTCTCTGTGGTCCTTCTTTCCAAGATGTGGGGCCAACAATTCTTGCTGGACCAGTAATACTGATATAGTATCGATATCTTTTATTTATTTTATTTGTTTGTCAAACATGTACAAGATAACAAGTATAGGTATGAACATAAACATGAACAAAGGAAGTAAATACAGATAAATGAGAACAATAAGACAGGGACGGTAGGCAGGCTGGTGCGCTTATGTACGCCCTCTTTACTAACCTCTTAGGAATGGGGTGAGGTCCACGGTAGACAGTTTGAGGTTGAAGTTGTGAGGGTTTGAGGCTGTAACAACGCAGTCGGGTAGGGCATTCCAGGCGTTGACCACTCTGTTGCTTCTGCTGTAATAATTGCTTTGGGGGTTCCTGAACACATTGTAAACATGCTTCCCCAAAAGCAGAAAGGAAGAGGAGGTACTATGAATATGGTGAGAGTATACCCTCCTCTACACACACACAAACCCTGGATCCTACAGCTTATCAATGACAGCTGATTTGGTTTAGTGGTTAAGACTCTAGTCTAGAAACCAGGAGACTATGAATTCTAGTCCCATTTTAGGCATGAAAGCCAGTTAGGTGACTTTTGGCCAGTCATTCTCTCTCAGCCAAACTCACCTCAAGGGTAGGTGGTTGTGGGGAAAACAAGAGGAATAAGTATTAGATATGTTTGCTACCTTATTTATAAAAATAAAGGTGCAATTAAAAAAAAATCACCTGCTATAGAAGAAAATGTGCAACCACCAGCAACTTAGATTAGAGATGCTATTTTCAAAGATATTTAAATTATACCTCTGCCTAGTAGGCACTCAAACCTGTATTTAAACCAAATAAAGCATCAGTAATTTAAATTATCTTGACCCCAGGATTTTAAAAGTCAGTATCACCCTCTTGACTTCAGCTTGGACGTTATCATACTCCATAAAAAGCTATCTGCACCAATCATATTATAAGTAACATACCCTGGACATACATATACATATTTTAAATATCCAGCTGCTATATTCAAAGGGTTTTAAAGTTAGATTCTGGTTAGATAGTATTGCCTTATCAGAGTGATGTATGGA